ATGCCTAAGAAAGGGCATGCCCAAGACCAACCTTTGTCACAGAGGTAGACCACAATAATAACAAAATACAAATCCTGCTGGGCACGGTGGCACAGGCATTTAGATTAGGTAGAATAGAGGCAAGCAGATCTCTATGGGTTTGAGGACATCCTGTTCTATATAGCAGTTCCAGACACAGCTACATAGTAAGCGCCTGTCTCATTAAAGAACAAAAATCCAAATAATTTTTTAAAAACAAAATCTTGGTAAAAGCAAGAATATGATTTTTTAAATTAATTACTCAGTGGCTCAGCAGTTAAGAGTACTTACTGCTCTTCCAGGGGGCCTGGGTTCAATTCCCACCACCCGCAGGCCAGCTCCCAACTGTCTGTTCCAGTTCCAGGGAATCTGAAACCTTCTTCTGATATTTGTGAGCTCCTGCACATATGTGTACTTACATATACTCGCGCACACACACACACACAAAGTTAAATAAATATTTTTCAAAGAAGAATCACCTTATTCTTAGGTTCAAGTATACAGTTTTCTGTTAAAAACAAAAGTACAAAGCAAACAAAGAAATAGGAAAGTATGGCCCTTTCTTGGGGTTGGTATCAACAGAAGCTACCCCTTAAAAACTCTGATGAGGTACGAGCCATGGCTGAAGACACACACTTCAACTGCAGAATTTAGAAAAAACAATCTCAGTCTGACCGGGAAGCCTCCTCTAGGCTGCCTAGTTTTTCACAGAGCTGGAAAGTGCTTTGTGGTCTGCTGGGGGAGAAAAGGCACAGTGGGCTTAGTCACAGAAACTGCAGGCCGCAATGCTGACTTGTAGGGCCGGCTGTGCCTACCGGGGAAATAGTGGCATGACTATTATGGGGTAGCTATTTTCTACAAGAGGGAATGCTGAACTCAGTACTACTGTTATCCTGGTGATCAAGCCATCAAGCCCATGGCTGGGGAGTTGAACTGCTTTTTTTTTTTTAATTTTGCTAAGTGGTCATACTTATACACACATGTATAAGTGTGTACAAGTATGCATACAAGTGCTTACCAGGACTTCTATATTAACCCCACTGCTACCAAGACTCAGGGAACATTTTGGAAGAGGAGGCAGAAAAAATTCAAGAACCTGAATGATAGGAAGTACCATAAAATACTGTCTTCTAGACACACCTGGCTAACTCACTTACAGACTCACAGTCGCTGGGTTGCCTGCATAAGAGCTGCATAAGATCAAGCCAACCCAAGTTCTAGCATACATGGAGCAATGATCTCCAGAACCCAACCATTCCTGAAGACCTGTTGGAAGTGGATAGGTGCTCAGGGAGAGAGAATTATTCTTTTCTGAGGATGTGGCCACTGGTAGATTTTCCAGACTCTAGTGGATGGCCCTACATCCATGCACTATATGGCTGGTACTAACTGGACTTAGTGGGTTATCAAAAAAAAAAAAAGTTGGGCTGGGCGGTGGTGGCGCACGCCTTTAATCCCAGCACTCGGGAGGCAGAGGCAGGCGGATCTCTGTGAGTTCGAGACCAGCCTGGTCTACAAGAGCTAGTTCCAGGACAGGCTCCACAACCACAGAGAAACCCTGACTCGAAAAACCAAAAAAAAAAAAAAAAAAAAAAAAGTTGGAGGGGTTAAGGGTGACATAGGGAGAGTTAAAGGTAGGAAATATAGACTAGATATGATCAAGTTTTATTGTGTACATGTAGGAAATTCTCAAAAAAAACTAAAAATAAATATAAATAATAAACTAAGTTCTTTATAAAGAAATTAAAAACCCCATGAGAGCCAGCAAGTTGGTCAACAGGTAAAGACACTTGCTACCAAGCCTAACGCGTTGAATTTGATCCCCAGAACCCACTTGGTGGAAGTATAGCAATGATTCTTGACCTTTGGACTCCACGCACACAGCATGGCACACAGCATGAGCAAACACATCACACACAGATACACAGACAGATGCAAAGTGGGAAAAAGCTAAAATTGACAGTATCCTCTCTTCACAATGAACAACATCATCATTCATATATATATATATATATATATATATATATATATATATATATATATATATATAATGAGTGTTTGCATTAGCACTAGCCCTAACCCAGAAGTACTGAGAGAGAACACAGAGAAGACCCAAAGCCATGTGAAGGGATAAAGGTCTCAGTAGATGAAAATCCATGGACAAGTATAGAATGTAATAGAATTACAACTTTACAGTCTAACTCCACGTTTTGCTTTCCCCATAATTTAGGAGACTTTGTGCATTTCCACAAGTCAGTCTGTCTGGAGTGCTGTGCAGAAAGACGTCTGCTTCTTTGTGTACTACCGAGCTTAAGCTGATGGAAATGCAAATTAGAGCCTTGTAGCTGCGGGATGTAAAATGAAATCCCCCACACTACCCACAAAGAAAATGAGAGCGTACATGCAGAAGGAAATAAGAAATGAGTTTAAGTGCTTCGCTTCAAAAAATCAACTGAACACAAAGAAAGAGCACAGTGCCATCAATAAGAAATGTATAAAACAAAAGGGGAAGATGCTAGAATCTCTTTATTAGTAACGAAGCCCTTTAAAATCAGATCAACCTTCTCTCTTCCTCAGTCATTCCCAGCAAATGATGAAATGAAGACCATTCATAGGACACACTGGAGAACTGGTACCATTATCCCGTCAGGAGGGAGATGGGATTTCCTCTCAGAAAGGGCATCTTAGAAAATGTTCAGGTGGCCATTTGGTTCAGATAAGCAAGGATGGGCCCTGCAGATGGGTAAGAGATCTGACTCAATTCATATTTACTGTCTGTTTATAATCAGTTTGTCGGCACACACGGCTATGACGACGTTTGGCATGTGTGTTGGTTACTATTTCCATTGCAGCAGCAAAATACTTGACAAAAACAAGTCGAGCAAAGAAGGGGTCATTTTGGCTCATGGTTTGAAAGTCAACCCACCGTGGTAGGGAAGTCGTGGAGGCAGGAATGTGAGGCAGCTGGTTATGTTCCATTCATAGGAAGAAGAGAGAGAAGAATGGCGGTACTCAGCTCACATTTCCTATTTCATTCATTCATTCAAGACTCTAGCCAAGGTATACTACATCAGAGTAAGTCAGTTTTCCAACTTTAGTAAACCCAATTTAGAAACACCATTACTGACATGCCCAAAGGCTTGTCTCAGACATGATCCCTGTCAAACTGACAATCACCAATAACCATCACCACATGCACAGCACCATAAGAGCGTGAACCTAAACACATCACAGGAATTCCTGTGCATTTGAGCTCTTTGTGAAAGACATACACAGTTCATCAGTCTACTCCCCTTGGTCTATAGAAATGGCAGATCGTCAGGAAAGCATTCCAGTAGACACGCTTCTCAAACAAGTACTCAGCTGTGTGAGTTTACAGGGCAGTGTTGACTCTGACATTCAAAGGGAATTGATAGGACAAGCCCTATCACATGGCCAAATGGCAAGCTTCTAGCTTGCATTGTATTGAGACCCAGCATGGATGGTAGAGCAGGTGCTGGAGGGCAAGAAGTTGGAGTTCTACATGAAGAAGATCAAAGCCAGAAGTCAAATAAATAGTCATGAGTTGATTATTATTACTACTCTTTTTTTAAATTGGCACAATTAGTTAGATGGACTAAGACAAATAGGTGATTCAAATAGGGATAGAGAGATGCCTGAGGTTACGAGCACCAGCTGCTGTTCCAGAGGACCTGAGTTTTGTTCCAAATTCCTACCTGGTAGCTAACAGCCATCTGTAACTCCAGTTCCAGGAGAATCCAAGATCTTCTTCTGGCCTCGTTGGTCCTTTTTTTTTTTTTTTTTTTTTTTTATTAAGAAAAGGGAAAAAAAAGTATCTGCCTCCTCCCAGCCTCCCATTTCTCTCCCCCTCCTCCCACCCTTCTCCCTCTCCCCCCACTCTTCTCCCCCTCCCTCTACAGTCCAAAGAGCAGTCAGGGTTCCCTGCTCTGTGGAAAGTCCAAGGTCTGCCCCCCTCCGTCCATGTCTAGGAAGGTGAACATCCAAACTGGCTAGGCTTCCACAAAGCCAGAACATGAAGTAGGATCAAAACCCCGTGCCATTATCCTTGGCTTCTCATCAGCCCTCATTTTTCGCCATGTTCAGAGAGTCCGGTTTTATCCCATGCTTTTTCAGTCACAGTCCAGCTGGCCTTGGTGAGCTCCCAATAGATCAGCCCCACTGTCTCAGTGGGTGGGTGCACCCCTCGTGGTCCTGACTTCCTTGCTCATCTTCTCCCTCCTTCCGCTCCTCATTGGGACTTTGGGAGCTCAGCCCAGTGCTCCAGTGTGGGTCTCTGTCTCTATCTCCATCCATCACCAGATGAAGGTTCTATGGTGATATGCAAGATATTCATCAGTATTGCTATAGGATAGGGTCATTTCAGGTTCCCTATCCTCAGCTGCCCAAGGGACTAACTGGGGACATCACCTTGGGCTCCTGGGAGCCACTCTAGGTTCAAGTCTCTTGCCAACCCTAAGGTGGCTCCCTTAACTAAGAATTGTGTTTCCGTGCTCCCGTATCCAACCTTCCTTTATCCCAATCCTCCTGTTTCCCCAAGTTCCCCCCCAGCCTCCCCTTCTCACTTTTCTTTGGTCCTTTTGACCACATGATACATAGATGCAGACAAAACATCCATACACATGAAATAAAAATAAGTAAAAATCTCAAAAAAAAAAATTTAAGAAGGCTCAAATAACCAAAAGGAAATGTGGAAATGAAGACATTACTACAGACTCAACACAAATATAAAAGACTATGAGGAAGTATTATAAACGTGTATAGTGATGAATTGAGCAGCTTAGATGAAATTCTTTTTTTTTATACAAAAACAATCAACGTGTATTTATTTAATATACATTGTAAAGGCTTAAGCAGACTTAAGTTAAAAAGACAAATAAAAATAACACCACAGCGTAGAAATCAAGGAAAGGACAGACCATCTAAGAAAAAAGACGACACAAGGAGAAGCTGGACATCTTGTGTCAGGGCTCTTGACTGGAGACCTGCTTTGAATAGGTTTCTTGCAGGTGCTTCTTAAATGCTGTGGGGTTTTTCCAGAGCTCAGCAGCATGTGTGTTCAACGGGCTATCGATGTTGGGTTCTCCTAGCAGGCTCTGGATAGACAGCAAGATGGTCCTGACATCATACAGCGCGGACCACTTATCCTTGAGGATGTCCAGGCAGATGTTCCCCTGGGTGTCTACGTTGGGGTGGTAGCAGGGCGTGAGGAACTTCACCGTGGGTGCGTTGTAAGGGTAGCCACTGGGGAACTCGAGTGAGAGCTTATACCTCAGGTCTTCATATACTGTGCCGGCTGCTCCATGGATGGTCCCTACCCATTTGAACAGGTTGTCTGATTCAGGGAAGGCGGAAATCCCTTTGTCACCAGACATCATGAGGGTCATCAGCTCCTGTTGTAGCCTCTTGCCCACCGGGCCCCGGGCGGCACCCCCGCTGGGCTCGGCTCCCTTGCTAACGGCGGCGACGCTGGCAGCAGCTGGGTCGCGGTTTTGAGAGGCCATTCCGAGGACGAGGACGCTGGCAGTGGAACAAGAATGCGGAGACGACTGAGCAACTCTTAGATGAAATTCTTACTGATTCAAATCCTATCAAAACTAAATTACAAAGAAATAGAAAATCTAAATAAACATAAACAAGCTGGATGGGTGATTATAAGTCTCCGAGCAAAGAAAAAGCACTCGACCTAATGGCTTTACAGGTGAATTCTATCACTTATTTACAGAATTAGCACTAATTCTTTTCAAATACTTCCCAAAATATTATTTTAAAAAAGGTAGTTGTCATATTTCATCCTGTGAGGCTGTCATTACCCTGATACTAAAGTCAAAAAATGACACTTTAAAAAATGACTGCAGACCGACGATCTCTTATAAATATTGATACAAAACTTCTTAACAAATAGTGCCAGCTGAGTTCAGCAGCAGGGTGAAAAGAATAAATGTCATGACTAAATGGGGCTTATTCCTGGAATCAAGGAAGTTCTGCATGTAAGCACTGAGCAGTCTAAGACTCCACCTAACAATAGAGGGGGGAAAGCCACTGTCAGCTCAGCAGATACTGAAAAGAATTTCACATAGTAGAGCACATTTTAGGAGGAGAAAGAAAGAGTCTCAGTGCAACAGTAGCCAATTGTGAAAACCCACAAAGGACATAGTGAAAAACTAAAAAAATGTTAAGTCAATGATCAGGAATGATCTCTGTTTCTGACACATCTATTCAACATAACACTAAAGACTTCTAATTAGAATAGTCATTCAAGAAAGATAAATGAACTGGGGAGTTTAATCCTCAGAACCTAGGTTACAAAAAGAAGCCAGGTGCAAGGCATATTTGTAATCCCAGCAATGGGAGGTAGAGACAGGCAGACGTGGGGCTTTGGGGCTTACTGGTCAACCAGGTCAGCCTACCCGCTAAGTTCCAGGCTAGGCAGAGACTGTGTCAAAAGGCATAACATAAAGGGAATAATAGCTGAGAATAACCTATGGCCTTACACATATGCTCACAGAAGTACAAACAACTAAACACATGACATCCATATTGGGAAGAAAGTAAAATTATCTTTGCTTTTAGATGGCATGATCTCATATGTAGAAAAACCTAAAGACTCCACACACACAAAAGTTAGAACTGAGATATAAATTCACCAGGACTGGAAAGATGACTCAGAGGTTAAGAGCATTTATTTGTTAGTTGGTTGGTTATTTGAGACAGGGTTTCTCTGTGTAGTCTTGTTGGTTCTGAAACACACTCTGTAAAACAGACTGGCCTCGAAATCAAGATCTGCAAGTCTCAGCCTCCTGAGTGCTAAGGTATGTACCACGACGGCCTGCATTTGCTGTTGTTCTTGTAGATGACCCAGTTGGGTTCCCAGCACCCACAAGGCAGCTTATAACCATCTTTACCTTCAGTTCCAGAGGATCTAGCACCTTCTGGCCTCCTTGAGCACCAGGCACACATGAACTACACACACATACATCAATATCATCCATATAAAAAAATGAACACATCTTTTTAAAAAAAAAATTTTAGACAAGGTTTTTCTGTGTAACAGTTCTAGCTGTCCTGGAACTCACTTTGTAGACCAGCCTGGCCTCTAGCTCAAAGAAATCCACCTGCCTCTGCCTCCATAGTGCTGGGATTAAAGGCATGTGTGACCACAACTGGCATAAACACATCTTTTAATAAAATACATCCTTCAAAGTAGAAAAATACACAACAAGATCTAGTTGTATTTGCATGTGTTGACAAAGCAATTTGGAAGGGAAGTTAAGAAAGCACTTCTCACTAACAAAACAGTATCGCCAACCAAAATAAAAAATAAAATACACAGGAATTAACCAAGGAGATAAAGGACTTGTAAAAGGAAAGTCATAAAATATTGTTGAAAGATATTTAAACAGACAAAACTACAAGCATTTAGCTGGGGGGTGGTGGCCCACGCCTTTAATCCTAGTATACAGAAGCAGAGACAGGCTGATCTCTGTGAGTTTGAGGCCAGCCTGGTCTATAGAGCGAGTTCCAGGAGAGCCAAGACTGTTACACAGAGAAACCGTGTCTTAAGAAACAAACAAAGAAAGCATGTGGATTGGAAGGAAGCCTTAATACTATTAATATGTCAATTATGTGAGAACAATCCGTAAATTCAATACAATCCCTATCAAAATTCCATATTTTTTTTTTGCAGAAATAGAAAATTCCATTCTGTTCACATAGAGGAACAAAGGATCTCAAATCACTAAGACCACATTAGAAAACAAAAGCAAAGCTGGAGGATACAGCCTTTCTAACCTTAAAGTTAAAGAGGCCGAAGTGTGCTTCTGATGGCTAGAGAGAGATAAATACTGCTCAGATAACGGAGTAATTGTGTAGCACACACAGAACTCTGGGCTCCATCCTCTAGTATCGCACAAATCTGACATGGTGACACACACCTGAGAGCCCAGATCTCATGGAGACTTACGGGGAACAGAAATCCAAGGTCACTCATGGCTACCAAGTGAGTTCACAAGCCGCCTGGATTGCAGGAGAATCTGTCCAAAACAAAACAAAAAAAAAAGCAAAAAGCAAAGCAACAGCAAACGTGTGGTTCTGACTTACAAACAGAATGGCTAGCCAAGGGAATCGACTAGAAAGCCGAAATGAGTGCTTACACTTATCAACAAATGACTTCCGGATAAGAGTTTTAAGACAGCAGAGAGAGGAAAAGATAGTTTCCAAGAAAGGTGCTAGGAAAGGGGTTGTGGACATCCAGGAGAGTGAGGTTGCAGCCTTACAAAAAAGCATGCACAAAAGTAAACCGAAATGAATCACTGACCTAACTAGCTATATAACACTCTTAGTGAGGAGATGTTATATAGCAAACAAAACAAACAAGCAAAAACTGAGCCGGGGAGATGGCTCAGCCATTGAGAGAACTGGCTGCTACTCCAAAGGACTCTGGTTCAATTCCCAACACCCACTTGGTGGCTTCTAGTCATCCATATCTCCAGTTCCAAGGGATCTGACGTCCTCTTCTGGCCTCGCTGGGCACCAGGCACATATGGGGTGCACAGACATACAAGCAGGCAAAACACCCATTGCACATATGCAAAAAAAAAAAACAAATAAACAAAGTTTAAAAAAATGCATCAAAATCTGCGTGGAAATTAGTTGGGCAATGATGTTCTGTCTATGACAGAGTGTCATAGACAACCAAAGGAAAGAACCAACAAACTGAAGATTCTGCCTCCTCAAGCATATTATCTCCCTTCTCAGGTCTTCGATGGGGTTGAAGATTAGATAGTCATAGTTACCACCCTCTTATGATCTAGCCAAGCCATTTCCAATACAAAACTTAGACTCCTTAGAATAGAATGTTTATTAAAATATTTAGCATATGTTCCTTGCTTAATATTGTTTATGCTGGTTGTAATTCTAATCTTATACTTGATATTTCTTCCTAGTGTATATAGTTTTGTACTGGGTTTGGAACTCTCTTATTTAAACAAAAGGAGGAGGTGCTGTGGGAGCTCCTTCTGCTCCTTCAGCCAATAGCCTTTAAGATACCAGCCCACTTGGGCATGGTCTCTTATACTATAAATTCAAGAGTAAAGCCTGCGCTCACTCTCTTGCTTCCAGCTCTCGCTTCAGGCTTCTAGACTCTGTTCCTGTTCTCCATTTGTACAGAGGATTGTTATCTAGGACAGTGATCTGTAAGTCTCCCCTAAATAAATAACCCTTTATTATTCATAATTTGGAAGTAGTGTGGGATTATTTTATGACTTCCGCCATCAGAATGGTATTTCTTGCATTGGCTTGTGGGCATGTCTGCAGGGCATCTTCTTGACACCTGGTGCAGGGTGTTACACTCATTGTGGATGATGTCATCCCCAGGCAGGTAGGTGGCCCTGGGTTGTATAAGGAAGGTGGCTAAGCAAGCCAAAGAGAGAAAGTCAATGGGCATTGTTCCTCCATGATCTCTGATTCAGTTTGTACCTCTAGATTCCTGCTTTGAGTTTCTGCCATTGCTCCCCTCAATAACAGACTATAACTTTTTTGTTTTTTTTTTTTTTTTTTTTTGAGACAGAGTTTTTCTGTAGCTCTGGGACCTGACCCAGAACTAGCTCTTATAGACCAGGTTGGCCTCAACCTCACAGAGATCCACCTGCCCCTGCCTCCTGAGTACTGGGATTAAAGGCCAAGCCATTTCCTGCAACAGACTACAACTTATAAACCAAATAATCCCTTTTCTCCACAAGTTGTTTTAGTCATAATGTCTTATTAAAGCAACAAATAAGCAAACTAATACCTTAGGAGATCAACAAAATATTTTAAAAAATGATGAAAGAAAAATAACAAGTGGGGCTGGAGAGATGGCTCAGCATATAAGAGCACTGGCTGCTCTTCCAGAGGATCTAGGTTCAAATACCAGCTCCCTCATGGCAGCTCACAATTGTCTGTAACTCCAGTTCCAGGCGACCCAACACCCTCACACAGACATACATGGAGGGAAAACACCAATGCACATAAATAAACAATTTTTTTAAAAAAGAAAAGAACAAGAATTGGCAAAGAGTGACAGAGGCTGGGTCCATGTGTAACATTGCTTTCGAATGTAAAACAGTATATCTGTTGTGAAGGCCAAGGGAATTCTTCAGAGAATTAAAGAATACATTACTGTCTGATCCAACAATTTAAAGGAGGCTCTCAAAGAGTCATTTGCTCATCTGTGTCTGTGACAGCATTATTCAGAGCAGTTAAAGGCTGAGAGCAGCCCCAGTGTCCACCAAGGAATGGAGAGGCAAAACACAATATGATAGGAAAGCAAGCAATCTTTCAAAGGAATGGAATTCTTGGATGGAGAGATGACTTAGTGGTTAGCAACACTTGTTGCTCTCCTGATGGCTCACCCACATTGGACAGCTCACAAGAGCTCCAGTTCCAAGGGATCTCATGTCTCTGGCTTCTCAGATGCCTGTACTCATATGCACATACCCATACTCAGGCACATGCACGGTACTCC